GTCCCTTCTCCATCCTAACTTCCTTCTTCCCAGCACATGAGGCAAGCTTCCAAAACGTGGAGTGATCCTCCTGGCCCTTGTCTCTACTGTCCTTGGGTGTTAGTCTGATATTATGTTATCTTATATTCCACAATTGAGTGTAGTCATTCTATTCTGTCCCTTTCTTTCCGACTCATTTCACTTAGTATGATACTCTCCATGTCCATCTACTTATAAGCAAATTTCATGACTTCATCTTTTCTACAGCTGCATAGTAGATGTGTAGTTTGTACCATTATGTAGATGTACCATAGTTTCCTTAACCAGTCGTCTGTTCTTGGGCACTTGGGTTGTTTCCAGATTCTACTGTGAACAGTGCACAAGCACATTTTTTATAGACTTGAGTTGTTGTTTTGCTCTAAAGTTAGTTCTTTTTGATGCAGTTGTAAATGGTTTCTATTTTTTTGATGCAGTTTTTATGAATTTTCTACAATGTATTTTTGTATATTAATTTTTTAGCCTGCCAGTTTAGTTTTTGGTTTGGTGGCCACTCCAGCAGCACTCAGGGGCTACTCCCGGCTTTGTGCTTGGGGGTTGCTCATGACAGTATTAGAGAGATTGTTGGGTACCAGGACCAATCCATGGTTCTAGCAGGCAGATTTTGTAATCAGTCTATTGTACTGTCGTCCAGCCCTTGTTTTTTTACACAGCTTTTTGTTGGAGCCTTTGAGACATTTTCATGTTTTGTCATCTGTAGATAATGATATTCCATCATTTCCTCTCAAACGTGGCTCTTGTCCAGTTGCTCTCCCTAGGACTTCCAACACAGGTGGTGGTTAAATGATCAAAGTGGATATTCTTGTCTGATGTTGGCTGTGGGTTTGTGAGATATGGCTGTTGTTCAGGTACATTCCTTTATGCCAGTTTTGAGTTTGGTTTTTGTTTTTTTTAATCATGAAAGGATGATGTATCTTTCTTGTAAATGCTTTTTTTTTTCCTTTTTAGATATCTATTGAGATAATCCTTTATGTTTGTTTGCTTTTTGTTTTTGTTGTGGGGCCCCTGGCGATGCTCAGGGGTGTTTATTCCTGGCTCTGCACTCAGGAATTAACTCCTGGTGGGTTTAGAAGGGAATAGAACCTGGGTTAGCCATGTGCAAGGCAAGCACCCTTACCCTCTGTACTATCTCTCCAGCTCTATAATCATATATTTTTATTTCTGGGTTGGGGTTTTTTTTTTAGAGGGGGCACACCCAGCAGTGTTCAGGGCTTACTCTTGGCTCTGTGTTTCAGGGATCTCTTTAGGTGACTCAGGCAACTAAATGGGGTTCTGGGGATCTAATTGGCTGCATGAACAGCAAAAACCCTACCTGCTGGAGCCCCTATAACTGTTCTTTTTTTTTTTTTGAAGTGCTGATGTTTTTTTGTGGGGAAGCTCCTCTCAGATGGTGCTCAGGAAACCCAGGGACTCCTCCTGGCATTTCTCAGTTGGACTGGTGGACCTGTTCAAGGGCCCGGGGATGCTGAGGATGCTGAGGATATCCTGCTCAAGGGCATCCAGAGTTACACCTGATGATGCTTAGAGGCCTTCAGGGATGCACCTGGTGATGTTTGGGGACCTACAAGGCTGCATCTGGTGTTGCTTGGAAGAACAGCATGTGGTCAGGAATTAAATCATGGCTGGCTGCAAGCCAGAGATGTACCTTTGCTCCTTTACAATCTCTCTGGCCTCACAGATTTTTTTTTTTTTTGGTATATCTTGTGGTGCTCAGGAGTGACCCTGGCAGTGCTTGGTGAACTCTGTGGTGCTGGGGTTGTGAATCTAGGTGGGCTGCAAGAAAGACCAACACTTTAATCCCTATACTAGCTCTCTGGCCTCTCCAGTGATTTTTTTAAAAATTGTTTTTTGGACCATATCTGGCTGTGCTCAGAGTCTACTCCTGGCTCTGTGCTTGAGAATCACTCCTGGCAATGCTCGGGGGACAGTATGGGGTACCGGGGACCAAACCCCGGTCAGCCGCATGCAAGGCAAGTGCCTTATCTGCTATACTGTCACTATAGCCTCTCCAGTGATTTTTTGTGTGTGTGTGTGGGGCAACACCTGGTGGTGCTCTACCACTTGAGTATCTCCCTGGCTCAGTCTTCTTCTTCTTCTTTTTTTTTTTTTTTGCGTCACACCTGGTGATGCACAGGGGTTCTCCCGGCTCTGCACTCAAGAATTACCCCTGGCGGTGCTCAGGGGACCATATGGGATGCTGAGCATCGAACCCGGGTCAGCCGTGTGCAAGACAGACGCCCTACCTGCTGTGTTATTGCTCCAGCCCCCCCGGCTCAGTCTTGTGATTCTTGTCCTTCCTTTTGCTGATGAGATGTGTCATTGTGTATGATGAAATAGTCATGGGTTTTTGGAATAAATGCCACATGATGATAACACATGATTTTTGTTTTTTGGTGGTGCTTAGGGGACCATGTGGTGGTAGGAGTTGAACCTGAACTTCCCTTAAGCACAACGTGTGCTCAGCCCTTTAATCGTGCTCTTTCTCTCTCTCTCTCTCCACCCCCACCTGCCCCGTGTTACCAGTGTTCTAGTTCAGGAGTGCTTCTACCCTCTTGCTCACCACCAGAGTGCTAGGATCCCTCCACCATTAATCCAAAGTCCCTTACCTCCACCCTCCCTTTTCAATTTTATAGAGGAATCAGAGAAAAATAGGTATTACTTTTTCTGTGACACTTTGGTGGGCGGTTTGGAAAAAGAGTGCATTGAATAAGGCACTTGCCTTGCATGTGGCTGACCTGGGTTCAGTCCCTGACGCCACATTTGGTCTCGAGTACCACCAGGAGTGATCCCCGAGCACAGAGCCAAGTGTAAGCCCTAAGCACCTTGGTGTCAACTAGAGCAATCACTCAATGGGCTCAGTCCATGCTTTGCTTGCAGAGACCTGCATTTCATCCCCAGCACTGTTTGATCCAAAGCACTTACAGGTGCCACCCCTGAGCTGAGAGCCAGGAATAGCCGCTGAGCACTGTGGGGTCTGACCCAAAACCAAACAAAAGGTTTTGTGGCATCTTCTAGTTAAGTCACAGTTTGGGGGAACTTTTGATTAGTTTCAATGGTCTCATTTTGATGGGTCTGTTCAGGCTGTTTGTTTCTTGCTGATTCACCCTTAGGATGTTGCATTTTTCCACGCATTTGTCCATTTCTTCCAGATTGTCCATTTTGTTGTTTTATCATTGTTTACAATACTCTTTGATCCTTTGTATTTCTGTGCTCTCTTTTGTAGCTTCTCTTTGGGTTCTGAAAATTTTGGTGTTTCCTCTTCTCTGTGGTTAAAGATTTATCTGTTCTGTTGTTCATTTTTTCAGAAAACCAGCTCTTAGTATTGTTGATCTTCTGATTTTGTTTTTGCTTTGGGGCCTCACCCATGGGTTCTCAGGATTTAATCCTGGCTCTAACTAAGGGATCACTCCTGCTAGACTCTGGACCGTGTATGGTGCCAGGGATTGAATCTGAGTTAGCTGCGTGCTAGGCAAGTTCCCTTCCTGCTGTATTATTACTACAGTCCCTGTTGACCTTTTGAATTGTCTTTTTTTTTACTTTTTTTTTCTTTTTGGTCACACCCAACGATGCACAGAGGTTACTCCTGGCTCTGCACTCAAGAATTACCCCTGGCAGTGCTCAGGGGACCATATGGGATGCTGGGAATCGAACCCGGGTTGACCGCGTGCAAGGCAAATGCCCTACCCGCTGTGCTATCGCTCCAGCCCCTTGAATTGTCTTTTTGATCTCCATTTTATTAATTTCTATTATAGCTGTTATTTCCTATCTTGACTTTTGGGTTTGCTTAATTTTTTCTAGTTTCTTTAGTGAAATTAATTTTTTTCTTGATTTTTCTTGTTTCCTCATTCTTATAAATTTCTTCATAGGGCTACACTTCCTGCATGCCATAGGTTCTCACGAGTTGTCATTTTCATTAATTTCAAGATATACATTTTTTCCTCTTTTTGGTTTGGTTTCTGGACCACACCTGGTGGTGATCAGGGCTTACCCTTGACTGTGCTCAGGGATCCCTCCTGGCAGGCTTGGGCTACCATATGAGGTGCCAGTATTTGAACCCTGGTCAGCTGTGTGCAAGGCAAACACCCTACCCTTTGTACACTCTCTCTAGCTGGTCTGTTTTGGTTTTTTGTTTTGTTTTGTTTTTTGTCATCTTGGGTCACACCTGACAATGCTCAGGGGTTACTCCTGGCTCTGCATTCAGGAATTACACCTGGCGGTGCTCAGGGGACTTTATGGGATGTCAAGGATCGAACCCAGGTCAGCCACATGCAAGGCAAATGCCCTACACACTGTACTATCGCTCCAGTCCCTCGAGTTATTTTTATTTTCCTTTTCTTTTTTAAACAAAAACGTGATTTTTTTTTTTGTCTTTACTTTTGATCTTGTTGACCTGATAGTTTCTATAGTGTTGATTATTCACCATCAGCTTGTGGTATCTGCCCCCCTGCATGTTTTTTTGTATGTTTTTTTTTTTGTTGATTTATGAACTGAAAAGATGTTTGAAAAGATTTCAGGTATTCATAAACTTACTGAGAAGTTTGTCCTGTGCCATAACATATTCTCTATCTTTAGAGTGTTCTGCGAGCAGTTGGAAGGAATGTGTACACTTTTTTTTTATGGGGAAATTGCCTATAATTAAATCATCTAATTTTTATCTTCTCAATTGTTTTGTTTTGGGACGACACCCAGTAGTGCTCAGGGCTTCTTACTTTGTGTTAAGGGATCACTCCTAGAGTAGCTGGGGTGGGGGGTGGTGACCATATGTGGTGCCAGGGATTGAACCTGTGTCCGCTTCCTGCAAGGTGATCTACACACTGTACTATCTCACCAACCCTTGCCCTTTCAAACTTTAAGCCAGGAGAGAGTTAAGTCCTGCCACCAACCCTAAAAGGGCCATTCAATTAAAGACTAAGAGAAGACTGGTTCCAGTTCCACTCCTCATTTTTCCTCCCTTCTGCCTTCAGATTCCCTGTTGCCCCTTGGCTCCCAGCATGCCTCACATTGACAACGACATCAAACTGGACTTTAAAGATGTCCTATTGAGGCCCAAGCGCAGCACCCTGAAGTCACGAAGTGAGGTGAGTCTGCTGCTCACTCTGGTGGCTCTTTCTTGACTCAAGCTTCTGCTGGGCAGGACTGAGCAATATTCCTGGCTTTTGCCCTCATGTAGTATGTATATCGTGGATGAATGTTTGTTCATATCTGCACTGTTCATATCTGCAGGTGGATCTCACAAGATCCTTTTCATTTCGCAACTCAAAACAGATGTATACTGGGATCCCAGTTATTGCTGCCAATATGGACACTGTAGGAACCTTTGAGATGGCCAAGGCTCTCTGTAAGGTAGGATTTCATTCATGCCCTTTCCTCAGTGAAGGTCATTCTGGGGCTGGTTGAAGAGATGTCTGCATCCTCACCTCTATCCCAGGTCAGTACTCTCGCAGTGAACATGCAAGCAAGAAGGCCTCTTTAACTTCTCAGTTCAAAGGCCATCTGTGAAAGTGAATTCAGAGTTAGACTTTGTTTTCATTTTTTCTAATATATAAACATAAATTTCCCTTTTCTTCTGTCCAGCAATTTACACACCCTGCCAGCATTTCAATACACAGCCTGCTCACCCCCTCCACGTCACTCACGTCCCTCCCCTTACAGTCCCATGCAGAACACAGTGCACTCACTATTTTAATCCAGAAACTGTAGATTGACACTCAAAAAATTTCAAATTCAAAGATCCTAGAAAGAAGCTTGTTAAAATTTTATTTTTCACCTTAAAAAAAAAATCTTCCTCTAAGTCCTCGGTTCCTGGGAGTTCTTGGGGCATGCCCAAATGGAACATTCTTACATACAGGCTATTCTCTTTCACACTGGAAAATGCTGCTCCTGTCTGTAATAGTACCCGCTTCTCTACCTGTAGCTCAGAAGGTACTCTGAGAATAAATCCACTCTTCTGATTAATCCATGTAGCCCTGCTTGATGGAGTCTGCTACTGCTTGTGACTGTTAGCCTTAAGGACTTCATTTTCCTTTTCGATTGCTGTAAGTCTTTGTGGAATTTCTGATGTTGACAGTTATGCAGTTGTGGTAGCGTTGCTGCTGTCATTCACTGTCTGCTTAGGGATTCTGCTGTTGTGTGCTTGCCCTGTCCAGTGGCATTGGGGAAGGGAGCGTCTTTAGCATTAACAGACATGCTATAATATAAGGACCTTGTCATGATGCTTTATGTTAAGAATGAATTTTCACTCAGTACTGCTGATGAGTACTAAAGAAATCAGATTTTAGATATGGAGCCAAGTCTCACAATGCTAATTAAAAGGTTGGATGTGTGAAGCATCTTCTTCTTGATCTCTGACTTGCTATATAATTGGATGTGCTCATCATGCCACACTGTGCTGATGTATCTCCCAGGTCAGCCAACCTCCTAGAGTGGTTTTTCTTTGTCAGCATAGTGAGAGCAGACTGTTGCTGAGAGAGAATTCAGTGCCAGCTTTTGCTAATAGTATGAATGAAGGTGATCTGAGTAGAGCAGTAGCACTTCCATCCTGCTAGCTAATGGCTTCCCTGATTTCATGTCAATTTTAAGGCTTGTGCTAGCTCAGTCAAGTGCCCTCATTTGTTTGCATGTCTGCACTTTTTTGGGGGGGAAGTGGAGTCACCCCAGCAGTGCTAGTGAGGACCAATAGCCACTCCAGTGATACTGGCCCTGCTTTACTGGCCTGACAGTTTGGTAGTCGGTCCAGCAGTGCTAGTGGGTATCAGGGCCACCCCAGCAGTGCTCTGAGGCCACCAGAGCTACACAGTGGTACTCCAGCGTCATTTGGTGTGAGGGATTGAACTTGGGGCCCTGAGCATGCCAGGCATGTGCTTTAGTCTTTGAATAGCTAAAGGGGTCTCTGGGACCCCTTGCATGTCTGCACTTTGTATTATGTTTCTTTGAGGTAATTCCTGGAAGTGCTTAGGCGACCACGTGGGGATCAAATCTAGGCCTCCTGCATGCAAGTCATGAGCACCAGCTATCTCCCTTGCCCCAATGTCTGCACTTTTATTTGGCTGGGGCTGGAGGGGTTGGTAGTGCTCAGTGGCTAGTCCTGCCTCTGCTCAGGAGTGACAGTGACCCCTGGCCGTGCTCGGGGGACCATATGTGGTGCTGGGATGAAACTGAAGTGTTGAGATGCAAAGCAAGCACCTTAGCCCTGCACTATCTCTTTGGCCTATGTCTGCACTTCCAAAGCAGCAGCATTCACAGTACGTTTGGAATGCTTTTCTCAAAGTATCAGGTTATTGGTTGCAGTTTGCTGAGCCTGGGAAAACAGGCCTGAAGAATCATTATATCCTTGAACTTAGCTGAATGAAAAACTTCTCAGATTAGTTCTATTTGAAGAAAATTTGTCCTTTACTCCCATGGAAGTGGAGGACTGGAGTAGCACTTTATTCTATTAATCTTAAGGCTTCATTACTTTTTGTGTGTGAGCATTTAAACTGAATTACTGCTCACAAAATGAGCCAGAAGTTACCTCCAAAATTAGTACCATGCAAGGGGCCATAGCAAGTGCTGATTCAACTGGCCGATATTGGCTCTGACCTCTTGAATGTCTTCTTACACCCTTGTTCCCAGCAGCAGCTTGTCCTTTTCACCTGAGGACAGGTGAACCCAATCTGAGGACTTCAGAGAGAGTGTTGGATAAGTTTTAGCATGTGATACAAAGCCCAGTAGGATTTGTAGGGAGAATTATTGGTTTAACTCCAAGTTCCAGCTCAACCACTGATTTCTTCAGTGCCCTTTCCAAGTTTTACCCTTTTCTCCCTAAGATGGAAGAGGGAGAAAATCTATTTCTAGAAAATCTATTTCCAGTAAAGGGGGATCTAGTAAAGGACTCTTTCTTCTCCCTAGTTCTCCCTCTTCACTGCTGTCCATAAACACTACAACCTTGACCAGTGGAAAGAGTTTGCTGGCCAGAATCCTGACTGTTTGGAGGTAACAATGGGCCTACCCTGACCTCTTCCTTATACCAGGAACCTTTTGTTTGCTCCCTGGGGACCAGTGCTTCTCTCCCATTGACTGCTCATCAGGTCATCTATAATATGCCATAGATTTTCTAATGCCTCCTATGCCAATGACCCTGTTGATCCCACAGCATCTGGCTGCCAGCTCAGGTACAGGCTCTTCTGACTTTGAACAGCTGGAACAGATACTGGAAGCTATCCCGCAGGTGAAATACATCTGCCTGGATGTAGCCAATGGTTACTCTGAACACTTTGTTGAGTTTGTAAAGGATGTGCGGAAGCGCTTCCCGGAACACACCATCATGGTATGTTGGTTAACCTGTAACTGATCTAGTTCTTCTTCCACTTTTAGGCCACTTTTAATTATAATTTTTTTTTAATCAGTTCATCTCTCTGCTGCGTTAGGACTTTTAGTTCACTTAAGTATGTCACTGAGTGATTCTCCACAGTTTCATACAGAAATGTTTATTTCTTGGTTATTATAGTTAACCACCTCTGCCCCTTGATTCATACTTTGTAAATGCTGCATCCCCAACATCAGTCAGGAAACCATGACAGAACTGTGTGTTGGACAGACCTGGGATACATACATATATGCCCACTGAAACGGATATGCAAAAAAGGATCACATGAAATAGCATTTTATTATAAGCTTAGTGGAATGATGAAATGGCTCATTCTCTTCACAGCATTGAGGGTTATCTCTGTTTTGTACATCAAAAGCAAACACGGCTTTATTTGTTTTTCATTAGCATACATTACCCTGTCTTCCCATTCCCCTGCGCCAGAGGTTTCATGACATAACAGCTTAAATACTGGAAGTGTCTGCATCTCCTGGCAGGGAGAGGGAAATACACTTACTGTAAATCAGATTTGCGCAGAGTTGGGCTCCTGCCTAACCTTAGGGCACCACCCTAAGATATACCACCTCTAGCTGGGAAGCTGAATCTCCAAGTGGCTAGTGTGAAAGCCTGCAGAGGGCCCAGTAGAGGGCACCCACGTATCCTTCTTTGTAATACTGCTGGAGTGTTTCAGTCCACTCATGTTATTTATAAGAGTACGCAACCCCCCATCTACATCTGCCACTAAGAATGCTGTTCTGACGACTCTGTCTCAGGCAGGAAACGTGGTAACAGGAGAGATGGTGGAAGAACTCATTCTCTCAGGGGCTGACATCATCAAAGTAGGAATTGGACCAGGTAAACTGGTTCCTGGGGGTGGGGGTGGGGGGGACACTGTGCTCTTTTTGGGGCACACACACGCATGCAGAGTACTTTACTGTCTTTCTTCTCAGGTTCCGTGTGTACCACCCGGAAGAAAACTGGGGTGGGCTATCCACAGCTCAGTGCAGTGATGGAGTGTGCAGATGCCGCTCACGGCCTCAAAGGCCACATCATTTCAGTAAGGCTCAGGGCAGGGCACTGTAGGGCCTGGGGTGCAGGGGATGGAGGCTGCTGTAGAGTGGGTCAGCTGTGAGGCCGGCCATTGCTAACCGGGCTTAGCAAACCCATGCTGTATCTTCACAGTCCTCCTTACTTTGCAGGATGGAGGCTGCTGCTGTCCCGGGGATGTGGCTAAGGCTTTTGGTAAGGATGTTGCAGGGACACAGAAACAGGCTCCTACAGAAGAGGAAGAGTCACCTATGAGGGTGTAGGACCAGGCTAGCAAAGACTCAGCAAAACTTTTCCCTAACATGTGTTCCTAAAACCCGTGGTGTCTTGGACAAGCTAAGGGGCAGTCCTAAGACACTGCTCTAGGCCATACAAGTGTGGTCCAGGACCATCAGTACCTGCCCCTGGACTGCAGGACCCCATGGAGATGCCCAGGCCCCACCCCCCACTCATGACCTACAAGATCCTGCTCTGGGGATGGGGGCACCATCTGCACTTTGCCCAGCTCCCTACAAGGTCCTGGATCACACTGAAGTTGGGGACTTGGGGAAACTTAAGTGAGTTTTGTGGTCACAGTTAAGACAAGAAGGCAAAAGCAGCAAAGTGGATAGAGCAGAGCAGTGGCCTGGGTGGTGGACTGTGGGCCAGCTTAGGAAACAAAATGAAGGGTAGATGGCCCCATATCAGGACTTGAAATTTGCTTGCTCCTGAGTGTGATTATGAGGCACCTGGACCAGATTTGTCTCTTCCCCCTCAATGCTGGCAGGGGCTGGTGCTGACTTCGTTATGCTGGGTGGCATGCTAGCCGGACACAGTGAGTCAGGTGGCGAGCTCATTGAGAGGGACGGGAAGAAGTTCAAGCTCTTCTATGGCATGAGTTCTGAGCTGGCCATGAAGAAATACGCTGGGGGTGTGGCCGAGTACAGGTATGTGTGGCAGCCCGGGAGTGGAAGGGTCTTGGGAAGTCTTGAGTAGGTAGGGTGTCTGCTGGGAAATGGATGGTACAGTTCTTGAGAGAAAAACAGACAGCTAGGGCTTAATGCAGGAAATGGCAGACTTAAGGAATCCTGCAAGGAAAGCTAAAAGAGTCTTTCCTCCTCCAAGGGCCTCTGAGGGAAAGACGGTGGAGGTGCCCTTTAAGGGGCCTGTGGAACACACCATCCGGGACATCCTTGGGGGCATCCGCTCCACCTGCACCTACGTGGGAGCAGCGAAGCTCAGGGAGCTCAGCCGCAGAACCACCTTCATCCGTGTCACTCAGCAAGTGAATCCAATCTTCAGTGAAGAGAGCTAGACTTGGACTCTCCCTGCCCACCCATGGCACCAGCACCCTACCACAGGGCCCCCTGAATGGACCCTTCACTGGTCCCAGCAACTACTTATTACTTTGTGATTTCCTGGCCTCTCATGAGGGGTTCCTGAAGTTATTCTGTCCTCCAAGTGCCCAGGGCCACAAACACGAAGCAAGACAGGCTAAGACAACAAAGTTGGCCAAACAGGAACCTGGGGAGCCAGCATCCGGAAGATTCAAAGGAAAAAAAGGGTTTTCTCTGACCTTGGTCTGGAAGAGGTAGGCTTTTAGAATCATGTTTTATTAAGTAGATAGGCTCTTTGAGGACATGTTCACACACCGAGTCCCTCAATAAAGAGAAATCCCAATGACTAATGATCGTAGGGCTGTTCTGTACTCGGCAGGCATCTGGATGCTGCAGCAAGCAGTCGACACTGGTGAGAGTGAGGTGAGTTTTCCCCATTCTCATACCAGCCCCAGGGTAGTACCAGAATATGCAAAAAAAGTTCTGGCCTCCAACACAGAACTGGTTTGCAGAACTACCAAAGATGTTTCTCTCGCAGACCTTTAGCCCTGGTAACCCTCCAGGCATATTGAAACAGCACTTTTCAAGGAAAGGGGAAAAAAAATGGGCTAGAGTGTTATGTACAGTGGTTAGGGCATTTGACTTGCACGTGACCAATCAGGGTTCAGTCCCTGGCATACTATATGGTTTCCCAAGTACTACGAGGAGTGAGTCCTGAGTGCAGAACCAGGAATAACCCCTAAGAGTTGCTGAGGAGGACCAAAGAACCAAAAAGAAAAAAAAAAAAGTAATGGGATTTTTCCAGCCCTGGAGAGACCAATACTATTTCTAAGGACTGATCTGTCCTGATTGAGAAAAGCCTTAATTCCCCCTTTCTCACACCAAGACCATTTTTTTTAATAGATCAAAATTTAATTACCAAGCATTACAGTCAGGTTAACTTGATTCTCCCTAACTTGTACAGAATTAAGGAAAAAGGAGACAGGTAAAAGTTCAGGGGGCATTCCCTTCTATCATAGGTGTCTAGGATCATGGGAAAGGTGGGAGGTATTCACAGAAGGTAGGGATCAGGGTGTCAAACTTTGTCCTCTGATAGTTTTCCAGACACTCCTGCAGAGAAGGATTAGGGAGAGCCTATCATCACCTGAAACCTTTCTTTAAGCTGGCACATCCTGAAACAGGTGGGTTTCACTTTTACTCTGCCCAGGACCTTCCCCATCTTCTCTTCCTTCCTACTCACCTTTCCTTGGCTGTTTTCTTCCTCTTCAGAGTCCAAAACCAGGTCCCCTATGGTAATGGAAGAGCTGCATGCAGGTGAAGGACACGCTATAGGAGAAAATTGCATGTCACATGAGTTTTTCTGTTTATTCTGGGGGGGCCACACCCGGTCTTGCTTAAGGGCTTTCTCTTGGCAGGATCTGGGTACTATATGTGGTACCCAGAGGTCAATCCTGGATCAGCTGCATGTGGTTTAAGTGTCCTATTCACGATACTCTGTGCCAAAGGATACTTTTTATTTTGGGGCCACACCGGATGATACTCAGGGCTTATTCCTGCTCTGCACTCAATGATCATTCCTGGAGATGCCTAGGAAACCATATAGGGTGCCAGGGATTGAACCTGGCTCTGTAATGTACAAGGCAAGTACACAGTACTAGCACTCTGGCAGCATCAAACAACTTTTGTTTTGGGTTACACCCAGAGGTACTCAAGGCTTATTCCTAGCTGTGCTCAGGGATCAATTCTGGCAGGCTCAAGGGACCATATGGGGTACCACGGATCAGACCTGGGTCAGCCATGATGAAGGCAAACGCCATATCTGTTACACTATCACTGGCCCTGTGACTTTTCTTAAAGATTCATTTTTATTTATTCTGGTGTTTGGACCGCATGTGGGATTAATTCCAGGCTCAGTGCTTGGGATTCATCTTCCGGAGGTGTTCAGGGCACCATCTGGTGTCAGGGCTTGAACCCAGGCCTCCAACACACAGACACATAACACTCTCTGGCCAATGAGCTATCTCTCTAGCCCAAACTATAAGTCCTCATGAGTCCCTAAGAGATAAGCTGTCTGACCCACTACAGATACCCACCTGGTGTCTCGGCCCTAGGTGGTGATATTGACAGTGTTGGGGTACCCAAGGGACAAGCCAAGCAGTTCCTGAGGTGGAAGCAAGCAGAGAAGACAGGGTGAAGGGAGAGCAGGCTAGGAACGTGCTGTTGGTGAGAACAACTCCGTCCCACTCACTCTTTCTGTTCGGAGGTAAACGGGTCAACTAGGTTCTCCTTCAGGGCCCTTTCCCCTGGGGTCTGGGATGGATTCTGAGACTTCTCAGTGGGGCCGGCTCTCATGCACCCAGCACCTGCTGGATCTGCCCCATACTCCTCAAGTCGTTCCTGCAAGTTCTTGGGTTTAGATAGGATGTGGCTTGTGCCTATATTCCTAAAGGGGAGCAGCATGACTGTGGGGCGTGCCTTTTGGCCTCCCCTTCTGGGAGCCCATCGTGAATGAATTCTTCGTCGGCCTAGAGGGGCCAGATTGAAGTGGTGGCCAGCCAGAGGCTCTGGGTGCTTCCTTGAGACTGGGCCCTGCGGATGGAGTGGGCTGGACATGGCTTTTGGCAGAGGACTGTTGAGTGCTGATCTTCGTTGTGGAGGAGGACTCTGCTCCGTGGACTCTATTGTGTTCCAAGAATCAGTATCAGAGCACTCTGAAAAAGGAAAGTGAAGCTCCTGATCAAGAGAACAAACAGTAGCAGATGAATTCAGCCCCATTTCTTTCATCTCCGACCCATAAGCATTCCAGCGGGCTGTCTCAAAAGGCATGAGGGTCCGCACCCCACTCCCAAATTCCTAATTTTCCGTCTTGGTACCTAAACGTGGCCACCCCATGTCCATTGCATATTGGGTCAAGGCAGAAGACAAAGTTATAGAAATTCCAGGCTGTATCCAACTGAATGTGTCCTGAAGCTGTAGGCAGGGAGAGGGAGGGAGTGATTAAGAAACAAGAAAAAACAGCCCTGATGCCACCACCCCGCACTCCTCCCTTCTGCCTGTCACCCCCAACACCACCTGCTGTGCCTGCAGTGGCGGCAGTGCTTTCTCCAGCTGACACAGGTATTCAAAAAGTAGCTTTTCCATGGCTGCCAGGAAAGGTTCTCCATACTCCTGTTCCAGTTCCTTTTCAAGAGGGAAAAGAAGCAAGTAAGAAAGAACTCAAGAGAATTGAAGAACTCGAGAAAAGTTCACCCTGGAACTTCAAGGCCAGCCGGTCTCACCTGCAGCTTGTAAGACAAATCCACTGGAGCCTCCGTGAGCTGCTTCACCTGCTGGCGAAAAGTTTGCTCTGCCTCTGCCATCTTCCTCAGATCCTGCTTTGTCTGTGAAGAGTAAGAAAACCGGAAGTTAGGGACACCATGATCCAGAGGACCGGAGGAGCAGCAGCTCTGTCACGCCAAGTTTTTGGGGGGGGACGGGGGGTCGTGATTACTCACAGCTTTTGGGTCCCGCACCACAGGTTCACACTCGGGGAAATGGCGATGCAGGGCATTAAGAACTTGCGCCCAGGGCCGGTCCAGCTGGATCAGCTCCACCACCATCTGCGAAGTCGGACTGGGTTCAGAATCTTCACATTGTCATTTTCCAGTGGCTCCCACCCGCAAGCGGCCAGTCCTTATCAGAGCTTCCCCGCATCCCATCCCATCCTTTCCCCCCTCTTCGTTTTCCAGGTTCTAACTGCTTCAGTACCTTGGCCTTTAGACCCATGCACAGGCGTGCATGGTGCCGGTAACGAACCAAGCCAGGGGCGGCTGCGCGCAGAGACTGCAGAAACTCTAAGACTCGCGGAAAGTGCTCCACGCAGCGTCCGCGCACCACGTGCCAGCTGGCCGCGGCGCCGAAGCGCAAAGCCGCCGAGTCGGCGCCCGGGGGCGTGGCCATGGCGTGTGGGCCCCGCCCCGGGGCGGTACCTCGGGGGGTGCTAACCTCCTTCGGGAGACTTTCCGAGAGGTCCTAGGGGCGGGGCTTCCGGTGGCCCTCCGCGGCGCGGCTTTTCTGTCAGCGCGCCGAAGATCTCGAGGTCCGCTCCAACGCCCTTCCAGGGGGCTGCCAGGATTCTGAGGGTGACCTAGTTCGGGCCAAAGCCTGAGTGAGTAAGCCGGCCGACAATGACAGCCCCGGGGCGCGCTGCTTTGAACGCCACCGCTACCTCCCAGCCTGAGGGTCCTCTGACTTCCGGCTGCGCGACCAGCTTCCTGCCCGGAAAAGGCGGTAACGGAGAGCCAATGGGCTGCCGGCCCTGATGGGCGGGCCCTGACGGCGCGTCACAAGGCCCCGCCCCGGCGGATCCGGCGCCGCCCCCTCGGCCTGTCCGCGCTGCCGCGGTAGCGGCGGCCTCTGCGGGGCGGGGGTAGCTCAGCGGCCGGCGGCGGCCTCCCGGGCCTATGGCGAGGCCCCGCTCTTGTCTCCTCAAAGGTTCGCCTTCGCTGTCTGGGTGTACCGACCTGCACCGCGGTGCCTTCCCCGGCCCCAGCCCGGGAAGCCCTTTCCCGTGCCACGCTTCCGCTGAGAATTGCGCCACCTCCTCGTCCGAGCAAGAGAGGGCGCCCGCCGGCTAAAGAGGAGACGCCGAATTCGCGGGCCCCTCTGCTCTCCCGCTCGGAGCCCATAGTGGGCAGTGCTGGAGCCCTGGCGCCCACCTGCCAGAGAGATCTTCGTGGCTTTCCCTCCAGTCAGCCCCTCGCGTCGCTCACAGCTTGGCGGCTTGTGCGCTCGTCCGTCCGTCTTCCCGTCGCCCGGGGCACAAACCTGCCTCACGGTCGTTGTGGCCTTGTGGGCCGCAGTGGTCCCCTGCCCGGTTGATGCTCATCGCCCTCCCCAGTGTCACCCACGATGGCGGTTTGCGTTTATTTCGAGTGTGCGAGGAAGGTTGGGATGTCTGGACCACACCCACGGGTGCACGGGAGTCACCCCAGCAATAGGAGGGATCGTGTGCGGTACCTGGGACAGAGCCAGGGTGTTGTACCCCCAATGCGATCTCTCCCCGGCAGAGGTGCTAGGGCACAGCCTCCCAGATTAGAAGTACAGGAGGTTTTTTTCTCCTTTCTTTCTAGTCTCACCCTTCTCCCGAGACGGCTTCCTTTCATTGAACTGCTTTCCATCCATCTCGTGGTCTTTCTAGAAATCTCTGTCCTACGCCTCATCCTACCCCCCCCCCACTCCTGAAAGACCCCCCTGGACACACAGGTCGGGTTTGGGGGGCGTTTGTCCCTGTAGTGTGCAGGGGGATCACCCCGGCTTCCAGCCAGTCTGGTTTCAGAAGACACGGCCCATGCTGTCTTCCAGTTTATCTCTGTGTGGGATTCTATCTGTGAAGTGCCTGCCTGTCACCCCTCAACCAGGGCCGCAGCTGCCACAACTACATGCAAGACAAGTGCCACCCCTCTTGCACTCTCTCTCCTGCTGCTGGTGTGAGGTTTTATATTTACCTGGCTAGGAGTGAGGCCATCTTTATAGTTTGGTGTAGCAATAGGTTAGTTTAGGGACTAGAATACCTCTGGAGTCATTATTCTCTATTTTCTTTGGGGTTCTCTAGAGATGTAACTAAGGTGTGAGACATGCAGATGGTTCCATTACATTCCTCTGTTACCAGATATTCTCTCTTTTTTTTCCCTTTTGGGTCATACCTGACGATGCTCAGGGGTTACTCCTGGCAGTGGTCAGGGGACCATATGAGATGCTGGGAATCGAGCCCGGGTTGGTTGAATGCAAGGGAAACACCCTACCCACTGTGCTATCACTCCAGCCCCAACCAGATATTCTCTTAATGTGGCAAGAGATGGAGGTGAAGGGGAAGTATCCTTTTGTCCTAAGATTAGGTCTCAGTCTGTGTCTGTGATTTTGATGTTTCCTCATGCTTAATTCCATTTCTATACTGCCCCATCCTCGAAGGCAGCACAAGAAGGCTAGAACAGACTGAGATCAGTTAGGATCTGGTTAATAACAAAAACAAAACACACACTTTCTCCTGAGAGCACACCTGGTTAAGAATAGAATGCTCTGGATGTATTTCAGCAGCAGCTTTCCTCTTTTTTTTTTTTTTTTGTGCTTTTTGGGTTACACCCGGTGATGCACAGGGGTTACTCCTGGCTCATGCACTCAGGAATTACTCCTGGCAGTGCTTGGGGGACCATATTGGATGCTGGGAAGAACAAAGTAGTTTTTCTCTGCTCTTTCATTGAACTACTAGAGCTCCCAAAGGTAAAACTCAAAAATGTGGGGGTCCCCTAGAACTGAATTTTTAAAAATTAGGGGATAGAGATAATATAGGGGTAAGGCCCTTATCTTTCATATAGTTGACCTCAGTTAAATTCCTGACATCACAGATGTTCCCCCAATCCTTTTTAGGATTGACTCCTGAGCATAGAGCCAGGTGTAAGCCCTGAGCACTGCTGAGTGTCAATTGCAAAAGTCTTTTTTTTAAGTGTGTGTGGTGCCAGGAATTGAATTCAGGGCCTCACATATGCAAGGCAAGTGCTCTACTGCTGAACTCTATCCTTTGCCCCATGGTTGATTTTTAAAATTACACGTTTAGGGGCTGGACCGATAGCATAGCGGGTAGGGCGTTTGCCTTGCACGCAGCCAACATGACCGACACAGGTTCGATTCCCAGCACCCCATATGGTCCCCCGAGCATTGCCAGGAGCAATTCCTGAGTGCATGAGCCAGGAGTAACCCCTGAGCATCGCCGGGTGTGACCCAAAAACCAAAAAAATAAATAAATAAATAAAATAAAATTACACGTTTATTAATAGGAAATAAAATTTTACAGTGATTGTGAAAGTTTCAGAAAATTGAGAAAAAGTAATTACTACTATATAATATCTTATTAACCCCTGCATTTTTGTTTTGGGATCATACTCAGACATGCTCAGGGAGACTACTGGTTTTGGGGTTCTTCATGGAAGTGAACTAGGTACTATGTAGTGCCAGAGATCAAACTCAAGCTTTCTGCATGCTTGAGAAAGTAGGAGTAATTCTTGAGTGCAGAATCAGGAGTAACCCCTGAGCATTGCTGGGTGTGACTCAAAAAGCCAAAAAACAAACCAAAAAACCCACATCTCTTTCCACCAGTCTGAGATAGAATAAAGGCAGTGAGGTCAGACCTCAGCCTATTCTAATTCTACGCAGGACTGTCAGTTTCAGAAAAATCACCTAACCCCTGTTATCTCTATAGAGGTGGTAGAACAATGCAGCTTACCTTGTGAGCTGCTTCTGAATGTGACAAGTAATGGAAACAGATCAGCACCTACACTCTTGTAAATGTGAAGCCAAGTTCCTTTACATATTATTGTCCCTATCCCCTTCCCTTCTTTGTTATTATTGTGATAACAGGGTTGCTCACATGTCTGATTGTGGTGTTCACTAGGGGCCACATACTCTGCCACAGTGCTCACTGAGATTCTCCTTTTGTTACAGTGCTTGCACAAGTTTGTTGGGGTTCACATGCTTGGTAGAGGCTCACAGTTATGTTGTACTAGCTGGAGGTGCAATGCTCACACATGTTGCACTGAGGTTTAACTTCTTAGCGGTCTCGAGAGGGGGGCTTGCACCCCTTTTGGTGCTCAGACACACTGGCTATAGTACGGCAGACGGTGGGTTGCTTGCTGCACCAGTGATCATAATGGAACAGCAGCACTGCCAGGATCACCGCTGGTACATATGAAACACTGGGGACTTGGACTCATGACCACTTAGAAGACCTTCTCTAAATCACTGCACTGTTCCTCTAGTTCCTTTTTGTGCTTCCATTTTCAAAGAATATTTAATGCTGTAGAAAAATTCTCACTGGAGGTGACAGGGATGGGGGGCATGGGGAGGTAGTAGATGAAACACAGTGTTACTGTTCTTTTCCATATCATCGGGCGATTGGGGGATCACAGTTGTACTCCACAATTTTTATTTTCTACACAGAATATGTGCTGTTTGCATAAATATTTGGAGACAAAGATATTTGAAAATAAGTGTTGTTTCTGCTGCTCAGTGCTCTGTACCCCTTTTCCACCTCAAACGCATACCTACAAACACAGTCCTCCCCCACAGGAGCTGCCATAGAAAGTGCAGCCCAACTCACCCAGAGGGCTTCCAACCTCTTTGAGCCATGGAAGCACCCTGGGGTGAGGGGCAGCTGACCAGGTAAATAGACAGTGGTCTGCCACTGCATAGGCCTAGATTGAGCCGTTGACTCCCCACAACCTCCTCAGCAACGGGGGAGCCAGGAGGGCCGTGTGTGTCCTTAGTGCATGAGACAGGTACTGAGCTCCTTGGCCCGGTCTGACAGAGGCACCAAGGGGGCCAGCTTCATTACAAAACAGTTTATTAGCATCCGTGCCGCCCAGTGCCAGTGGAGATGGGCCCCCTTCCCGGGTATCTGGCCCTCCCACCTTGGCACCCTGAGTTGCCCTATGGCAGGCCCCCATCCTGGGGCAATGTCCTTGTTCCTCAGGCTCCAGGCCAGGGCTAAGCTCCACCTCGAGATGCCATGGGGATATTCTCGCCTGAGTTATCGCCGCCTCCAGCGTCAGAATAGAAGCCAGCGCCACCGGAAGCTGGGGCCACGTCCACTTGAATGACCCCATGCACCTGGGAGAGCTGTGGGCTGTCCAAGCTGGCAATGAGCTGCCGGGGCCCTGGCCGCACAGGCACAAAAGTCTGCCGCAACGTCACCGTCTCATTGCCACCGATGTCCCTGTGGGCAGAGATAGCGTCATGGTTCTGGGGTGACTGAGGGCAGAAGAATGAGGAGCAAGCATGGGGGGTGGCGGCAACTGGGAAGGAAATGTTCACAGCTGGGCTCAGCTGGAGTCTCTACGCCCACGGCCACGATAAGCCTGAGCCCCAGGCCGCTGGAGCCAGATCTGGGCCACCCACCCAGCAGCTGAGCTGGAAAGCGCCCCATCAGCCCCCATCATACACCTCCCTCTCCCACACACACCTGGACAGATGGGATGCTGTCTGCCCCTCCCACCACCTCCTCCAGCAGACTCTCCCCAGCCCCCCTGCAGATTCCTAGGTCAAGGCAGTTCTGGGGTTCAACATGTTTCTGAGCAAATGCTTCCTGTTTTGTTGAGAAAGAACTTGGAGGAAAATTAATTTCCCTCTACTACCATCTTTACAGGGAGTCACAAACATTGGAGACAAAAAAGGAAAGTACTTCCTAGGAATAGATGACTTA